AAACTAAATTATGGAATGGATAAAGAATGCAGGCAAGAGAGAAATAAAGGCATTTCTCAAAGTTTGTAATTGAGAAGTATTAGCATTCCCTGGAACGAGAAACATAACATGGGGGATGGGGCAGCTTAGGGTGTTTCAGGCATGCTTAGGCTAAGATGACCAGTAGATATCCAAGGTGAGAAGCAATGTTCAGCAACTAGATGAATACGTGTGCTTGGGGAATCTAAGTAGATCTTGGGGGTAAGGATATATACCAAGGAACTACTGGCCTATTGGTAGCTTCCAAATGATGGACCAATGAGATACTCTGTGCAGAATGTGTAGATGGTAGACTCATGATGCAGTTCTACGTGGTCTGACACTTAAAAGGTTGAGCGAAACAAGATAGGTTGGCCAAGGAGACTTGGAGGAAGCTGAGGACAACACCAAGAAAATGAAGTGGAGAAGAAACAACAGAGGGGGAGAGGGAGAGAAGGAGGGAGCGAGGGAGGGAGGGAGGGGAAGAGTGAAGATCACTTGTGCTGAGAGTTACTAAGGCATCAAGTGAGTGAGAATGTAAAAATGATCATCACGGTGATCATTGATAATTTTGAGAAAATGGTTCCTATTGGATGCTTCTGCAGACAGCTGGGTTAGGCAAAGCAGGAAAAAGTGGGATGGCGAGGGTGGGGACAGTAGCTGCAGACAGATGGGCACCAGGTGCAGTGCTAGGAGGGCATGTTCCAAAAGGATGCGTCATCCTGTTAAAACCTTACCCAAGAACCTAGCTTTCCTGTCTGTAACAGGAAGCCCTGCTTTATATGATGTACAAGAATTTTGCAGTTGTCCTTGTGTATAATAGATTTTAGAGGGTGTGAAACTCCTAATATGTAGGAACTAATTTCATTAATAGTAGGAATACTTATTAAAGTAGACTTTGAAGAAATCTTGAATGTGTGCAGATGACTACAGGCACATACGAGTTTTCGATGGACAGTCTGGCGATGAGGGTCGCTTACCTCTGATGTTGGCATGGACTGAGCTAAGCCGCTGCTTCTGTTCATATCCTGAGTGATGCTAGACTATTTCTGTGTCTCGCTGATATCTGAACATTTGGACCCAGGAGGAGGTGTGGTTAGGATGCCTGATGCTGGGGCAGCAGTAACTACACAACATTGCATATCATAATTTCTATGATGACCTAAACACCCATCTGTATGCATTTAAATTGGTGGTAGTAATAAAAGGAAAATGTCAAGATTTTACAGAGTTTGAGTGCTATTGCTCTTTGCAAAAAAATGTGATACTTGTACAAACTTCTTATAAGAATCTACCCTTGCATGCAGCTATCTTTAATGTTCAATGTTGTTTCTTTGACTTCATCCGCAGAGCGCATCTCCACTTGTATCTCATGACAGCATCCACAGAAGGGCACTGATTGCATCATCCAAATCCTTTCCTGTAGTTTGGATTTGCTGGCAATTCTTGTGTGTTAAGTGATTTGAGGTTTTCAATTTATGGGCTGAGTTCCTTGGGAGCATTCGTATTGGCCCATCAGTACTAGCCACGGATGAAGCCTATGCACAGGCAAATTCTCTTGCAAATAAACCTCCCAGGCAGTGCCAGATGCTTGATGCTTATCTCACGCTTGGTTTGGTTTAACAAACATTTTCTCAAGACGCAATGAGTCTAAGACCAAGCACAGATAAGAAGTTGTAGCTGTGGTCTTGTCTGAGCCTGATGCAGTTTGAGGAACTGGTGACCAGAACTGGTGAGTGGAACTGGCACAAGAAATGGATAAAATGAAGTGCGCTTCCCAAGTGTGGGGTGCGCTCCTATCATCCCAGCATTCTGAGAGGCTGAGGCAGGAGGGTCACCTGGCCCAGGGAAGTTTAGCAACTTAGCAACTTAGCAAGACCAAAAAAAAAAATAATTTTTTTTTTTTTTTTTTGGGAATGTAGCAGAGTGGGAAGACCTTGGGTTCAATTCTAGTTATTGACTTATTTTTTAAAACCTTGATCTATGAATAAGCAAAGCATGAGAGCTAGGGAATGTGAATGGAGAAGATGGAAGTTACTGATTCTTCCTGGGTATGGGGTCACTGTGGTGGAGAGAGGGACACTGTGTGGCTCTGACCAGCGATGAGGCCTCCAGAGGCTGCCATGGGAGACAGAGGGTGCAGGAACTGGAGCACAAGCAAAAGCAGCGTGCAGCGATGTGTGCTTGGGCTGTGGCCAGCTGAACAGGGGCATCCAGGGCAGTAGCACGAGGTGGAGGAGCTGCAGGGTGAGGCTGAATGGTCCTGCAGGAGCAGGCCAGGCTGGCCAAGCAGAGCCTTGGGCTCTGCGTGAGGGTCAGGTGGCTGGCGGGACCAGGACGTAGAATGGGGCCTACCTTTGCTCTTGCACTGCAACAAATGTCTGTGGAGGACTCTGTGTACAGTGTGCTGTAGTTACTTGGGGAAGACAGAGTTTCAGGAGAGGAAGGAACGACTGGCTGAGTCTGCGCCAAGAGAAGCAGCCAGGCTGTGAACCCTCCCACGGTGACCAGGACCCAGGAGGCCTAGATGGCTCCCCTGCACCCCCTATTCATTTAGAAAATTCTGCTTTCTTTGTTCAGTATTTTCTGTTCATGAGGCTAGCACATGGCACCACCACATTTTATTATCTCCAAGGAACATTTAATGGCACAGGAAATACTCATTATATGAGTTTGAAGCAGAAACATGACTTATAAATTGTATGTACAATAAAATCTCAGTTTTATATGAGGGCTTGAAGAGAGAGAGAAAGCAGAGACACAGGGTTTAAAATATCAGTGACAGCCATCTCTGTGTCATGTGACCAGAAAGGTTTTCATTTCCTTTGTCTTCTAAGATTTCTAAAATACATTTGTGTAAATAATTTCTAATAATATTTTTCTCTACATACATTACCTCCTCGACTTAACACGGGAGTGCTAGTGAATGTGAAAGCAGGCTAGGCTTTCTCTTCCTACCTGGGAACTCTAGAGTGCCTCTCCCATTTGGCTCCTGGGTCTGCCCTGAGGTCCTGCTACCCTGAGGCTCGCTGTGTCCCTGGCCTGGCGCTGCCCACTGAGCCACCCCAGCAGCTTGGCTCACTGAATAACAAGGCCCTCTGCCATGCGAGGACAAGTGCTTTTGTATCTTTGTGTTCTGTATTAGTGCTGTATTAGTGCTGGACACAAGCCCAAGCTTTGCTGATTTGTGTCCTTGCCATTCATGTCCACATGGCTGACAATTCCCATTCCAGTGTCCTCTCAGTTTCATTTTATTTGTTATTATTGGTGTGTTCTTTTCTGGTGGAAGGCCTGTTCCAAAAACACATCCGCAAACTGTTCATAGCGATGCTCAGTCCTAGTCAAACACTTGGTGGAATGTGAGCATTAGGAATGGGTTCTGGGATATCGGTAGGTTCCCCTGTGTAATCAAGCCCAGCATTTGGACACAAACATCCATCCACCGTCATTGTGTGCAAGTCCTAACTGTAGAACTCTCAGGTGAGTGTCTGACAGCAGTGGTTGGCTTCTAAGGTAATCACAGAAATGAATGTCAAACATGCCCACATTCTTCCCTCCCACTCTCCTATCCTTCCCTCTCTCCCTCTCCTTCTCCCTTCCTTCCTTCCTTACCTGGATGCTTCATCTTAGCTCCCATGATGCCTTGCAATACCCCTTTCTCCTTCCAGCCCTCACTGGGCACACCTTGGTGTTGGTGGTGTGTTTGTCTTTATCTCATCGGACCACCAGCAGCTTGGAAGCACTGCGCTGCTCATCCATATCTCAGGCTCTTATCACCTGGCTCACGTTGCGCCTCATGTGTTGTTCCCCTACCCATCTTCAAACATTTTGCATTTAATAAGGGGTGATTTCTTTTTTTTTTTTTTTTTTTTTTTTTGGTGGAACCAGGGATTGAACTCAGGCCCTTGTGTTTGCAAGGGAAGCACTTATTCCACTGAGCCATCTCCCCAGCCCCCCATAAGGGGTGATTTCTTAATGGCAGTAATATGGAGCATTGTGTGAAGTGCACTACATAATTGTGCTCTGGGAAACATGCTTTCAGTATGGACATCGAGGGGACTTCAAGACAAGAGATAAAAACAAACCTTGTAGACTGGAGAGATAATTAAATACTTAATGTATTAGTGGGGAATGAGTAAAATCCCCATCTCTAGAGAGCTTTAAAAAGTGGACAAAGAAAGCATTTATGAGGATGGCGTAAGTGTTAAGCCTGTCTTGAGACAAGCAGACAGATGGGCTGACAAACGGTCCTGCAATTCTCTGATTACTTGGCCTGGAAAGAGGCTGAGGGAAGACATTAAAACTACTTCAAATATGGAAAGCAGTGAGTATCACTTTCCAAAGGAAGGCAAGTTGAAGGGGCTTAACCTTAAGTCTTTGACGTTTAGTTTATATCTTATAGCTAAGGATTTGAAGTCACAGGTTGTGAAAATCTTCTAAAATTTGCAAAATAAATGAGATTGATTTTTTTGGGGTGATGTGGAAAGTCAGCTCCATGATTCTTTTGAAATAAACATTTTTTTTTACGCCATTCTGAATATGTGAAACTATTGCAATACATTATGTTGGATGTGTGGCATCCTCTTGGGAAGGGAACATTTCTGAAAGTAGTATTTTAAAGTCGCATGTGTCTTTGTTAGTCTGTGCCTAGGAACTGAGTATTAAGACCCTGGTTGTAAAATTCCCATCTTAGCCCCTGAACAGGGCATGATGTTAATTTTATAGCCAAGAGTGAGCAGGGCTCCACCCAGAATCCACTGTATGGAGTCAGCCTTGTTCCCCACCATCCCCCCAAACATTTTCTCAGTGAAAATATAAACAAACTGGGGGCTGGAGACTACGAAAATCCTATCGCCGCCGTAAGGGGACTTAATTACTACGGAAAGGGTGGCCAGGTGTCTTCTGCTGTAGTTGCATGATGCAGCCACATGATGTCACAATTGGATCTCCATTTCTCACTGTGTGTTTGTCTCCAATACTAGATGAAGGCATTTTCAAAGCTGGAGCAGAGAGGTCTGAGATGCGGGGGGCAGCAGAAGTCCAGGAAGATGAAGAGACTCAGGTTGAGGTTCCAGTCGACCAGGTAATCTCCATGCCACTGAACACACGTGTGAAAACCGATGACTACTAGTTGCCTTTCCAGTTTTGTGCTGCCTGCTACATGCTGATGAGCCCTTTAAGGTGCGGGGGCCACTGAATGACCTTAAACACATACTACAACACCCTGCAGTTCTTCATAGCATTGCAAAGAATGGTCACTGGAACGGCGCCTCATTTTTAAATGCAAAAGATGGCCTGTCTTTAACAAACTGCTTGGAAGAGCAAGATCGGATGGAGTTAAATGTGATGCAGAGGAGAAAGTTGCTACAAAAGGGAGACTTGGTTTAGGTGTTTATCTAGAAAAATATGTCCTCTGCCTAGAAAAGCATTTAAAAAATGCTGTCCTAGTCTCTCCTTTAGGGTAGTTGAAATTGTTGTTGGAATTTGTTTTTCACACAAGAATTGCTTGTATAAATGCAACTCAAATATTTGCTATATGTGTATTGATTTTCTTTCTTAGGACAGTGAAACAGTATAATTTCTTTCTTTTTTTCAATAGTAGGGTTGGACTTAGAGCTCTCTCACTGAACTATATCCCCAGCTCTTTTTATGTTTTATTTTGAGACAAGATCTCTCTAAATTTCACTAAATCACTAAGCCTGGGCTGGACACATATTTGCAATCCTCATGCCTCACACCCCCCACCCCAGAGTGCTGGGCTTACAGGCGTGTACTGCCATGGCCAACAGGAACTTTGCACTTTTAGGAGCAGGTATATGTGTTTGTGTTTATATTTATGTATCACATATATATTTGTAGAAGAAATTAAGAAGCGCTTATTCTGGTTTAATGATGCATGCAATAACTCATTTCTGCTTTTTTACCACAGTTGAATGAGCTTTCTTACGGTTGTAGGTGGGGGATTGGAACTTAGGTGAGGTGGCGGAAGTGACAGTTTTAGACTCAGGGGAATTGGAGAAGTCACTAAGAATTGCCAGTCGTCCTCTGGCCATTATATGGTATTTCCTTTTCTAAAAGCAAATTTCACAACCCAACAAATTTTGTAGATGTTCTCAGTTGAATTTTTCTTAGCAGGGTAGCAGGGCGCTGGCTGCTTGATTGCTCCTCAGGTATCTTCTGTAAGCATTGCCTTCCTGGTGAAAAACCTACTGTGCTAAAAACCACAGATTTAAAATATCCAATTTATTTTGTAGGATTTGCTATAACTAATAGTTTTTCATAAACTCTAGTTATTAGGTATTTTTCCTGGGAGAAAACAGAATTTTAAGTCGTCCGTGAAGTTGTAATTGAATATTACGTTTTAAGACAAAGAAGGAAAATCATCAAGTGTATACAACAATTAAGGGCTATAAAAAATAAGACTAATTTATATTCCAAAGTAAAAATATCAAGAGGGAATCCTAGTAGTATTAGTATAAGAGAAATCTATCTGCTAATCACGTAGTAAACAGTTTGTAAAATCTGTGAGCAGTATTTGTTCAGTTATAAACTTGCTGCTTACAAGGACTGAGGGTTGCAGGGTGAACTGCTCTCTGATAAGCCTTGGATGTGTGTGTGTGTGTGTGTGTGTGTGTGTGTGTGTGTGTGTGTGTGTATGTGTGCGCGCAGAGCGTGATTCTTACAGGTGAGAGCTTATTGCAAGCATGCAAAAGAGACTGGTAGCAAAAGCCTGAGTTCCTTCCTTCCTTGGCTCTATTGGGCTCAGGGCTGGGATGGCCAGCTTCCATTGGTGGTACAAGGTGCTTAGACTGAATGATTTTTTTTTTTTTTTTGGGTGGTACCGGGGATTGAACTCAGGACCCAGTCTTTCTGGGAAGGCGCTTACTCTACTGAGCTATCTCCCTGGCATGGTGCTTAGATGGTCACGTTTCAGAGCTGTTCTTTCTAGGCTCCAGTGACCCTTGCTTTCTGTGCCTTTCAAGCTGCTATAAGTATTGTGAAAAGTAAGTGAGAGTGTGAAAAAAACCAGCATACATCTCATTGGCTCCAAGATTGTAAAACCACCCCTGGGGACTGGCCCATGGGTGGTGGGCATTAAATAATAGATAGGGTTTACCAAATGCCTCCTGAGTGCTGGGCACTGCACCAGGCATCATTTCATATGAGTGTGGTGATAACTGTGTCAGATAGGTCTTAGTAGCATATCTATCTATCTATCTATCTATCTATCTATCTATCTATCTATCATCTATCTATCTATCATAGAAGTGAATTATCTTGCCCAATTTGTTTCACTAAATAGGGGAAATGGGACTGGAGAGTGCAGGGCTATATAACTTCAAAACAGGGGGGACATAATTAAATGAAAAAAATAAAATTCAGGGAAGGAAATGTAAGTCCTTGTGTGCCACTTGGTTCAACTATTATACTATTTACAGGAACATTCTCTCCTGATATTAGCTAGTTACTTCCATGGGCTACTTTCCTATCATCCTAATGGTCTCTGTACATTGTGATTTTAGTGAAAGGACCAGGAACAAGGGCATGTGTGTGTGTGTGTGTGTGTGTGTGTGTGTGTGTGTGTGTGTTTATGCACAAATTGGCTGAGTAGTGGACCCACTGCTGAAAACAGATGCAATCTCTAAGTGGGCACTGCGGTGCCTGCTGGGCTGTCTTCCACGGGCTGCTGCTGTCCCTTGCTCTTGAGGGTGGAACACTCACTGCCCACCTTTGTCTCCTATTGTCTTTTCAAGGATGTTTATAGAGTGGAATGGCTTTGGTGGTCAGAGGTAGGATTTGTCTGGAATAATCAGTCTCACCTAGAGGAGATTTTGTCTCCACGGAGATAGTTGTCTTACTGGGGAGCACTAGTGGGTGGTGACCAAGGACACTGTTCATTATATTATAGCATACATGATCATCCTGAAAAGAAAATTACCCAGCCCCAAGTGTCAATAGTGATGAGATCAGGAAATCCTATTTGGGGACGAAGGTCAGATTGGTTTGTTGTTCAGTAAGCTGGACAATATAACCATTAACATGACCAATGATCAACAATATTGCCCCAAAGATACTGTTTCAGTACAAAGGTTGGGTAGATTTACTACTCATGCTGAAGTATTGATTATTGAATTACAACAAAGGCTGATTAGGACAGTAAATTTTGTGTTAAGTGTATTTGTCCATAATAAAAATATTAAAAGAAAAAGATTTGGGTTCCTGAAGTATACAGTTTTTTTTTTTTTTTTTTCTGACATGCAAAACACTGTGCTTATCAACCTAATCTTTCTCACTGCCTTGTGGAAAATGTGGTCAAGGGTACAAGTGCTGATATTCCAGTACTGCTGCAGACACCATGAAGATTGTTGGAGACCAGAAATTTTGTTTTTTTGTTGTTAAACAGAGTTTGTTATATACTATTTTCTTATTTACTTTAAATTTAATTTTTCAAAATTCTTTACTTATTAATTATTTATTTATTTAATTGTTACAAGCTCCTCTCAGACTCGTAGTGTTTCTCCTGTCTCAGACTCCTCAGTGCTGGGATTACAGGCTTGCTTGCCCATGCCCGGTTTCAGGGTTGGCATGGTGTGAAGTACCGACGATTGAACTTGGGTCCTTGCACTTGCCAGGCAGGCACTTAGACCACTGGGCTATCTCCCCAGCCCTTAAATTTAATTTTTTTTGCCATAATTTTATTGTTAAACAAATAGCAATGAGACAGTTTCAAATCAAATCAGTAGGACAGTTTCAATAATTAACACACTGCATACATTCTTCTTAGTGGTTAATTGCTGTACAAGATGCGGAC